CCCACGTACATCATCACACAGCTAAAAATCTCAGTCATGTGAATATAGTCAAATATATAAGGGAAACTACATCGGCAAAGAAAATGGACTCTGAATATTTGTATATGGAATGAACAGAGCATATCAAACAAACAACAGGTAATCCAGGAAATGAGAAGAAACATAGATAGCCGTCTGGTCTGAAACAAAAAGGAAAGAAAAGGGAAGCGAAAAACTGAACTACCAACGTGCACTTCTACAGTGGCGTAAACAAACATGAAACTGCTAATGCCGAAATTTACATTGTTATTGATAAAATATTCGATAAATGTACAAAAGGTTGGGAATGAACAAACGAACGTCTTATTAAAGTTGTGTTGTGTGTTAATGATGCCCCAACAGCTAGAAAAGATGATTTTGAAATGATAGCCAAAGAAACCTTAGACAGTAATCCCGATATCCATGAAATAATATTTCACACCAGGTATAAAACGTGTTATGAAGAGGGTTAAGATAGGTATGTAATAACAACTTTTTTCTGTTAAATTTAAATATACGCATATTGTAATATGTTCATGAAAGGTAGTGTGAGAAAAATTTAGAGGTGGGGATGTGGATTGTTGTTGCATTACATTATTACAGTTTTTTGACTAGTCACTATTTTTTTGCTCAATATTTTTTTAAATAATATAAGCATGATCACTGAATGAGCACATCACTGAATAATGATTTCCAGAACAGAATGCACAGTTTATAACATGATTGCAGTTGTTTTTTGTGTGCCCGTAGGGTACGTATCCTTGGCTTTCAATGGGACCTTTAAGTTTCCGACGTCTTTCTGTAATCACACGATGATTGTATATTTGGGTGATTGTGAGAATTGTGTCTATAGATTCATTGCCACTAAACTCGGCCGCAACAACCGGAATTGGCATGTTGTATTTTTATAGTATCGTGATTTTAATAATTGATGGGTGGTGTAATTTGAGTTCTGCAAAGAATTCGATTATGTTATGGATTGTTGCAGAGTTTTGAACACATTTTTTTATTTGAAGGATCCTTGAAAGAATGTCCGCTTCTCTTTGTCTCTATGAGGAATTTAATAAGTTTACGGAAATCTGTTTTGGAGTTGGCACTTATTTTTGTTTTGTTTCTAAAGTCTGCTGCAAGTCATTGGTCACTTTATTTTTAAGCTCCTTGAAGAAGTTGTTTGCATTTGAGATATTAAATACAAAAATTGGGGGGATTTCAGCCAGGAAATCCGTTTGTTCATTTGAATTTTGAGGAATTGAAAATGATTAGATTCTAGTGAAGTTACACCATCGCGCAATGCATCAAAACAGCTTTTCAATTTTACAGTAATATCGACTGGGATCTAACAGTTTATCAAAATTGTTGTTATCGGTAATTTTCTTTTTATGTTCGTGTGATTCAACAAAATCACTCTCTGACCTTTTCCGTGTAGAGTTTCCTGATGATGATGGTGCCGACTGATCGCTGTGCAGCGAGCCACATCTGAAGCCTGCTTCCATGCTGCCTTCAGCGTTCTGGCTGAGGGAGATAGGGTTGATGTTGCTCTCGATGTTGCTGTGAGGCCATGGATATGCATGGCCTCGCCTCTTGCTGGAATTGGCGACGCTGGAGAAATGTCTCCGTTGAGGATACGCAGGGCATCGGATGTTGGCTGCCCTGTAAATGGATTTATGGCATAAGTCATATACTTTCCTGTAAATAGTGTATTAAAATACTAAATAGTGTATGCACACAAGCCCTAACACTAAAAAAAGTGTTCACTAATAGACGACCGTGCCGAGGCTACGTTAGCCTGTCCGGCTGGAGTGATATCGACTGTGATAAGTGAAGTGGACTGTAGCGTGGTCGAAAGACGAATGGATAAGTGAGGATGCTGTCAATTCTTTAATATCAAGCGTTTATCTTGATGCTGAATCAATTTGTTTAAACAATTGGCTCCGAAAGTGTCACTTTCTCTTCAACGAGATGGGGAACATGGTTAGAGGGTGCGATATATTGTTGCCAACATTTTTACATTATTAAGAATGTATTGAACTTCACGAAACTGAAGCAGAAATAATTGTTGCAGTGAAGGTTACTATAAGTAGAGATGGAATAAAGGAAGTCTTAGTTTACACAAAGACTCACTTCAACTTCATTTCCATATCCATCACAGCGCTCTCGCAAAATGACGTTCCTCTTTTTACAAATATAAATTGAATAGAAAGTCTCTTACTAGAGCTTAAATCCGCATCAGGAAAATTGCAAATGTTGTAGTAGAAAAAATTAACTGTGTACTAGAAAAATATCCGGATTACAGTACATTACAACATATTGCTAATATCATGTCCGGTAAAACGGAGAGCAAATTGTCAAACATTGAAGAAACATAGTCGCTGAAACAAAAAGCAAACTTTAAATATGCGCCAATAACATCTGTAGTAGTTGACGTTGTTTTTCTCCATCACAAATCAATTTTGAGAAGGAACAGAATCGTTTCTGTTTTCAAACCTTGAAGTTATGACACTGCAAAAGAAAAAAAATAAGTGACCTTCAGCAACAGTTCCAGTGCATAATTCAGGTGAGTTTTGTCATAATTTGCATTGTTTTGGTAGACAATTTGTTACTTAGATCTTCAGTGATAAAAATAACGGATGAAAAGAATAAATTATGATAATTTAATTTTTATGAGGGCGTATTACATATTATCTGCGTTGTTAACGCATATACCTGTTTTAAATCTCATAATTACATACATATTTTACAGTTTTTAATGCATAACTATCCGATTCCTAGTTATGAATGCTCCTTAGGTGATGGAACACAGATGTTTCTCCCATCATATCATATTAAATTAGGTTTGATGACGAATTTCCTAAAAGCCAAAGACAGAGACTGAAAGGCCTTTTTGCACTTGAAAGAGCAGTTTCCGAAAGTTAGTGAAGTGAAAATTGAAGAGAGAATATTCGTCCGGCTAAAAATAAGAGAATTAGTGAATATACAAAATTTTGAAGGAAGGTTTTCCTTCAAAATTTGCGTCTTTCACTTGTCCAAGACTTCATTTTGAAGTGGTTTTTACGATCCCTACTGTCCCACTTACATGAATAACAGCAAAATGTTGTGCATTTAGTTTATAAATCTAGGAACAAAGCAATCACATTAAGATTACCGCATATGTTCTACGTATTTTTTTCATATTAATCTTCTCTACAATTATTTTCGTATTTATGTATTTTTTTGATATTAATAGCATGAGCAAGTGTAACTAATGGCAATTTATTCCAAACTGTAAAGGACTGTAACTTTTAAATGGGCAAATCAATGAATAAGTATCACTCCTCTATGTTATAAGCATGCCCTAGAGTGTCTAGCACTAATGAAATATTATTACAGTACACTTCATCACCTCTTGAGAAAAAAAATTAAATGCTCTTTGACAATTTCGCAAATGGTGTATTCTAGTTTCAGAATGAAGGTTCCATCTTATTAGTCGTGATCCCAAAAGTTCAGCCTCTACCCCTAAATTTCGATCACACACTAAATCATTCAAATCTCTTTGTGTTAATAAATGCTTCTTAGAAACCTCATAACATGGATCGTGCAGATAATCATCGTGATCTCCCCACTGATCTCTTATAAACTAGAAATTTCAAATTCGTTGATAGATTCTAGGAAGGTGGTATTTCGAGATCCTCACTGCGGGGAACAGGTCAAATCGCGAAGGTATATTGGGATACTTTAAAGAATGATTTGATTTTTTTTGAGATTCCATTTGTATTAATTATACAAATATTTTAGTCGGAATAATGATCTTTCGGCTCTCTTCACACCATGGAGACAGCAAATGACATGACGAGAACCTTTTGCTCACCCTGTTAAATGCCGCTCACAAGTATCACAATAGACGCCTTAATTTAGTCTTGATCCTATGTTTTGCAACCAAAAAAAGATAACACTTTTGAATAAAGAGAGTTAAGTTCCTTTTTTGATGTTTAAATGCCAACTCATCACACACATAATAGAAGTTAACCGGTCGGTTTAGACACTTTCGTGACATGATTTTTCACACATAAATCTACTAATAAAGATCGATGTCAATGCAAGCACTTCAGGAGTCGGAGAAGTGGCGCTATGCAGATACAACCAGGATATGAGCAGGTGGCGTCATGCCTACGTTCTGTCATGACTCTGCTCCCCCCACCAACCCAATGTATGCACCCTGCACTATTCTTCATATAAATAAACAATAATAGCTTAAAGACAATAATTGCAAAAATAACCAATTTAACATAAAAATTAATAATAATAATTGTAATAATAATAATAATATAGAAATATCTCCAAAACTATATGTGCTAGTAAACCTTTAATAGCAGAGCTCGATTTCTCAGGAACAAATACATAGAATCATGAAAAAATTTGTGTCTGTGGGAAAATCTTTGTTGACCAGGGTAACAAATGTACTACAATGTTTCCAATATGTAATATGTAGTTTAAGTCTAAATCATATGTAGTTTAAGAAAAATCCCAACAATTTGAAATTGAGAATTGCAATTTGTCATGACTTCTACGACATTTTAATACACCTTGTTGTCAATGTCCGTCAGGTTACATAGTTATCTGAATGATGGTTTGAAAGATGGTACACTGGTCATCAGATAAGCAGTATAATATTCAAATACAATAATTTTCCCAGAATTGTCGCGTTTATTTTCATTACACGAATTGGGCATTCCATTAATTATATTGTTTGTTTACATAGAATATCTTTTACTGCAAACCTCTCAATTTAATTTTTCTTTTCCCCTTGTATTCCCTTAAATTTAGTATAATCGGTTTTTAATAATTCAAAGAATCACTTTTAATGACATTATATGAATTTCAAAATTATACATCTTCAAAGTATTCATTTATAACGATAAAATAGACATTTATAACGACATCAGATATGACTGGGAAAGGGAAGAGGAGCAAGTGAAGTAAATAGTTTCATCGTTTCTTGGTTGTATGTCGTATGTTTTGTTGTATAAATAATACATTTTTTAGCTTATAATTAGATATTTGCACATTATTCGATACGAAATTACATTGATTGAGCTCTCAAGCGAAGGCAAAAATACATTTATTTTCAATGTTTAAGCCGTATCTGTAGTTCCCTTCTCTACAGCAACTCTTGTAGACAGTCAGTTTTATTTTGACTGATGGTGACGTTTGTGTCACGACAATAATTTCACCACAGTTGTCAATAATTAATTTAGAATATTAATATCCCTCTGTTGAAGCTGAATGAAGCTAGAAGTTTTTCCTCTAGTGACGACTCATTTTGCGACCTCTGACTCTGACATTTCAGTTTGTGTCTCGGTTGTAGTCTCAAAGTATGGTGAGTTCTCTTCGACGGTCGTGCTTTCTTCCGATTCACTGAGACCTGTGGATGTGATTTCATTCTCTGTGATGCCGCTTGTTGTAGTATCTACTTGGTTGTTTTCAGTAGCTTCTCCATTTCCACTGCTTTCTTCCTTTTCGGCATCTCCAGTGTCCCCGGTTTCGTTATCATCCCCTTTCTCTCCGTCACCACCTTCATCCCCACCGTCGCTGCCCTCAGCTGGCACCAGAACATCCGGCTGATCCGTCCCCTGGCCCAGGCACTGCGTTGCGGGAGGCGTGGGAGGAAGATGAGGCTGAAAAGGAAAGGGTGATTTTAAATTTTGGTGATTCTCGTTTGGCTTCGAAATACCTTTACATTTGTCTTGGATCAAAAGTAAAAGACGCATTTTAATCTTTATTACAGATGGTACAATGCCATAAAGATATCGATGTTTCTAAGCATTAAGGTCTAAAATTAAAACATTGTTGTTAAAAAAACATCGACGCAAAACCATGGGGAATTTAATCACGCGTGTGGAATTTAATGTGGAAGTGGTCTCTTATATTAATTTTAAATTATATTTAACAGACAAAATAAAGTCAGATTAGTGATTCCACAATAGCACGTGCTTTTGGACATTAATTATAGATGAATGGTTAATTTGTAAGCGTAGACTTATACCACTTCTTTTTTAACAGTGTCTAAGATAACTTCCTTTCAAGAAAAATATTAAAACACTCTTAGACTATTCTAAGGCCGCCATTATCCGCAGGAGAAAATTATTTACGAACTGTTTACAATAAAAAATTAATAAAAAACTATTTAATTGTAAATAATATATACATTAGCTTGTGATTTTTATGTATTTTATATTCACTTCTTTTCTCTATTAAACATTGATTTATTATTTACCTTTTCAACATTTTTTACAAAAAATCTTTGAAAACTGCTGTTCAAAGAAATCTGATACGTTCGCTTCGTACAGGAGAACAATGAATTTTTTACGTGTTGGACTACTGTAAAGGTCAATAGACTACTCTAGTAAGCTTAGCGAAACCGATAACAATAAAATAATAATTAATAATTATAAACAATACTTAATAATAATTAAAGACGACATGATAATGAGATAACTAATTTAGCTGCATGTATGATAATACGCAGCGAGGCGTACTCACGCGCGTGTCCGGGTAGCGGCGCGAGGGCTGGGGCACGGTGTAGTGGCTCATGGCGGTCGCGAGCACGTGCAGCATGGGGAAGCGGCCGCGGCCGCAGGCGCCGCGCACGTCGTCCTCGCCCACCGCCCACATCATGAGGCCCGCGTAGCCGCGCCGCAGCGCGAAGCCCGCCTTCATGCGCAGCGAGCGCACGTCCTCGTAGCCCAGCCAGTCGCGCCCGCGGAACGCGTACGGCACCTGCCGCGCGGGCAATCATCACCTTTACTCCTCTTACACTTGAAGCTGCAGATATTGCTTTTAAAAAAGAGCATGATATATTTCAAAGATCTAAAATTGAGCCATCTAATGTGCTGAGAAAGAAATCAATGGCTTCAATATTGAGAGAGAACACGTTCGAAAATAACATTTAATGAAAATTAAAACTACGCAGTATTTATACACATCCTTTCTACTTTTTGAGCAAGTATATAACTAACTAACTAACTAACTAAATAAATAAATAAATAATGTGTACCCATTTTGCAGAAAATTTTGACAATGTCACAAGAGTTTCTTTAAAGTACCTCCCAAAATTAAAATGTTTTAATGATCTCCGGAACTAGACCATACTACTAACATCGTATTAAGTTTCAGTTCAAAATTTTGTTGTTATTATTGTTGTATGTTGTATATTTGTTGTTGTTTTGTTGTTCAATATTTAGTTGTTAGAAGACTGAAAAAAGTGAACTTTTGCCTTTGTCGAAAATAATCACGGTTTTCAACGAACCTGAGAAGTCAACTAAAGTTCAGTAAAAGTGCTCAAGAAACAGGGAGCACTCAAAAGAATCGCACCGTTGCTTATTGAGATTTCTCAAATTCTCACTGAAATTTCAAATGGCGCATTTTGTCAGAATGCCCGGGCACAGCCAAACAAGTAAGACTCTTCGAACACAGCGCTGAATAGAAGCACTTATCGCCGTGCAAAAGGTTACAAACTGCTGTAGTTTGTTGAGTCGAGAGCGGGCAGCGAGCTCTTAATTCGATAAGCTAATGTGAGTGATTCCTTTTACAAATTTCTCGTAGTTTTATGGTTATTTTTCAACTACTTCGACACTAAATATATATTGTTTAAATATAATTATGTATTAAGTAATTATCCAGCCGACGTGGATGGCCGAGGTGGCTAGGTCATGTGCCGGCTCAGCGCCTCGGTAGGAAGGGTTTTGAGTTCGAGTCCCGTCGTGGGCGTAGTTGTTTGCCCCTTGTCTTTCATGTATGTGTGTTGTCACGGAAGAGCGCTTCGTGAGACTGCTGACCAGAGACCAAGGATTCTGCATGTGTAAAGGTTAATATGTGTCTCCATTAGGGACATAGTGGGTACCCGGTGCTGATACTCGAAATCGACATCCTCTAAAGCTGGCGTGGAAGAAAAAAGAAAAGTAATTACTCAATTATTGTTTCATATAATTGAAATGCAATATTTTTATTATTTTGATTTGTCATCACCGCATATATGGGTGAACGGACGATTCCCCATTTATTTTTAATAATTTTATTTATTTTAATTTCTCTTCTTTCTTTTGAAGTTTGTAGAGTCAATTCATTTACTTATATAATATTCTTACATGAAATTACTATAAACATTGTGAAAATGTATTCCATCTACGATATAACATTTAATTGCAATACATACAGGAAAGTTGTTCAATCAATTCAAGTATGTTTGGAGCGCGGGTTGCAAATCGCAATGTGCTTTTACGCACGACATAGTAGTGCTTTTATACCAATTTGAATTGATTAGAGAACTCTAATAGTGGTCTGGTGTCTTCTGCAAAATTGAATTCTGATGGAATTGAAATTGATTCAGTGGTCGGTGGTACTTTTCAGAGTAGGTGATAAATTGAATATGTTTAGTGTATTTTGTTTCACAGTAAGGAATCACTTTCTTCAGTACAAAAATGATATTTTGCTGCAAGGATTTTGTTCCATTGTAGAAAGTCTCTCTTTTGACATTAGCACGAGATTGATAACAGTTATATCGAAGCGAAAAAGTATTAATTTCATCCCCCCTCAAAATTGAGAAAGCGATTCGGAAGCTACGAGTATCACGATCAGATCTTGCGAAGGAGTGCGGCCCAATCGGCCCAGGAAGCGCAGGCTTCGAAACGCCTCGCCCCAGGCAGCTACGCAGATGAATGGTCGCCCGCAGTTGCGCGGTCGCTTGGCCGATCGATTCGGCCAACCCAACTGTATGATTTTGGCCGTTCAGCCTCGCACAATATGTGACGAATTATTTATAAATGCCTGGTGTTTATTTTCGCACGAATGAATCGCGCCCAATCGGAGAACGGGAATTAGAGAGACTTTCACATGGATTTACGCAATTGCACCCTTGCACCCAACCCCTCTGTCAACTGACACTTCTGTGAAAATATGCAAACACAAAATCTCGCATAACTGGTCACATTTAAAGACTTTAGCTCCTCCCACACAGTTTTGATTCTCCTGTTTTTTAACGAGCAGGTAAATTGTTTTTTAACATCTCTTAACCTGATGTAAAGTTTTCACTTTATTTCTTTATTTTGTCATAAATGGTTTCAGTAATTTTAGTAATAATTTCAATAAAAATTGTAAGTAAGATCAGTAAGTCTTACTTATTAATCATAAAGCTTGAACATTTGTTGTGTAATATCAGAAAATAAATACATTGTAGAACAAAACAAGACATTTTTACCCCCACGAGAGTCTTAAACCCCACGAATAGTAGATAAATTATCAATTTCCTACAAATTGTTATAGGAAAGTTGTATTAACATGGACTATGCAAGACAGCACTTTGTTTGGACATCACAGTCGTACATTGTGAGCTTCGATTATCAACATTTACTTACATAAGTCTCAGTGTCGTGAAAATGTCATCACTTGGTTGGACAATGCCTTTAATCACTTGGTTTACCACTAATAACGACACAACTCCCCATTATGTTCAAACAAAACCTATATCTAGTTAAATTATTTTACTACTGAGATAAATTAATATTCACTCTCACAATTTTAAACTTGACTCACACGCTTCGTTTTAACGAAGGATTTCGAGAATTTTAGCCAACACGCGAATGTGATTCTGTGTGCTTCTGAGACGGCAGATCTACTGTGCCTCACAATGCACAAATACTAATATACGTTTGTAGTTAGGCGTTTTAAGAAAAGCCGCTTGGCAGGTGTGAAAACGGCGCGTTGTCGAAGACCCGTTGATTGACTGACGTGTTTCTAGATGGTTCAACTGGAATGGTCATTGATCCCGTAGGTGCAGTGATTGTTTTGTCTCTGGAGGTGACGGTGATCCCTCCCACTAGAAAGTGGGATACGGCCGCGACCTACACGTGGATTGATTGTTTAAGAGATTCCTGGCACGTCAACTACCAGGGTCATTAGTCCCGTAAGTGTAATGCATAGTTTCGCTCGGAAGGTGGCGGTGATTACCCCCATGATGCGGCGAGATGTATGGCAAGATGCGGCGCCGACCTACCGTCAGCAAGCAGGGTTTTCCCCAACCAGGTATCTCCCACCAGCGGGGCACCACCCCAGCCCAGACAAGCTCCTATCTCCAGACGGGTCCCCCGGCATGTGTGGTAGCGTAGTGCATGTTAGTGTATGTGAGTAAGAGGTGAGGATAGGACAAGGAAAAGGAAGGTGAGATTGCGCGCGGTCCGTGGCCCGTTTGTTAGGGTACTGCTCCAGCATTCGCCTGTTGTTGATCGGAGAAAACTACGGATCAGAGCAGCCGGCCGCTAGAATACGGACAGTACTCCTTCAGACAGCGACTGAATTCGACCTCGGTAACACGCTTGTGTCAAAAATCCTGCCACTATAGGGTCTGGAACCTAGATCCTCCCGGTCAGAGAGACTGCAGCCTACACGAGGATATGCCAGGGATTTTTCTTCTAGGTACTTTCACTAGCGGGGCATCACTACAGCCGGGACCCTCTCTTAAGCTCCCATCTGGGCTCCGGCATGTGGGGAAGGTAGTGCGAGTGTGTGCAAGGGGAGGGGACAGCCATGAGGAAGGAAAGATCGCGCTGTCCGTGAATCGTTTGTTATGATGTTTCTCCGTGATTCTCCTGGTGTTGATCGGAGAAATCATAGAAAGCCCGATGAGAGCAGCCTCCGGTTAGTATTCTCCTCCAGCAGCCTACGGCTGAATTCGATCTAGCTAGTGACAAAAATTCGCCTCTGTCCCGCCTTCAATTCTAGAACCTCCTGATCACAGTATCTGCCACCGTTGTTTCCCTGAGCCGAAGCAGAGGGCGTGACCGGGTCGCCTCACCTTGGCGTTGCGCTCCCACATGAGCGTCCAGCCGTTGTCGGCGGTGACGTCGCGGCAGATCTTGCCGTAGGACATGCCCCGCTGGCGCGACTTGGGCGCGAGCGCCGCGCCGGGCAGCGGCCGCGCCGCCTCCGCCAGCTCGAACAGGTGGCCGTAGAAGGGCACGCCCAGCACCAGCTTGTCGGCGGGGCAGCCGCGCGCCTCCCACTCCAGCATGCCGTCGTGCTGCGGGCAGCGCGTGGCGCCGGTCAGCTCGCCCTCAGCGCACACAAAGGTACAGGCAGTGCAGCGGGGATAACTTGCCCCAGCCCGCGATTGAATTGTTTTCATTCAAAACTTAAAAGAATATTCACTTCTACCTCAAACTAACCGCTAAGGGATCCTCAAAAGAAGCTTTTAGCGACTACTGCTAGATAACAAGTAATATTGTATGTGCACTTGACAGCATTTTTAGATTAAATCTAAATACAACATTAGAAATTTAAAAAAATAAATTTAATAGATACTCGCACTAACTGCGATTAATTCCTAGTAACTAACTAACAAATTAACAAAACTAATTATATAATAAAAGTAAAAATAATAAAAAATAAAAATAATAAAATTATATAAAATATAATATAATGTAATAATTATAAAATAATGAAAAAATAAATAAAAATGCACAGATTTAGTATACCGGGGCACAATTTCTTCCGTAATGAACTACTACTTATCGCTCAGCCAACTGTTAGACATTACAGGTAAATAGAGAACCTAGCGAGCAAATACAGCACTACGTGAGTGATTCGTTGCATCAAGAGTATTCCGCAGCTAAAATTGACAAATTCCTAATTTTCTTCAGCAACTTCCAGTGAGTGACGTGAGTTTCCCCAGTGAGTTTTCCCCAGCACATATAAATGCTGAATATCTTTCAAAACAAAAATCAGACCAAATTTTGACAAGCTACTGTTGAAAGGTATCTTGTGAGAAACTTGGGGTGAAATGACAGAAATTAATGAACTCATATTTAAAACTTACGATGCCCAATTATTCCAGATGAGAATGGGAATACATTTTTTAACTAATTTTATTTATGAAGGCTCTTGTGAATATATTTTGAGGAAGTTGTAAATCCACTCAATGAAAGCTGCAATCAAAGAAGCGTGTAATTTCTATTCGATCTAGTGGGTCAAACAATTATGTAATCTAGTTCAGATATTTAGAACAGAATGGAGGCATAAAACTTTTGCTGGACACAAAGGCCTAGTTCATGCACTAAATACACGAACTCCCAATGGATGAAATATCTGTTCTAACTTGACAATTAAATGAAAATCTGAAGGATAACCTAGATGTTTCATCTTATGCTAATTCCAATCTAATTAAGTTAACTTAGTCCAGTTCAGTTATTTAAATAATTTCAGACTAGCCAAATTAATTCCAGAGCAATCCACCTGTGCTCAGTTCAACCCAGTTTAGTTGAATTCTAATCAATCTATTTCATTCAACCTCAATCGAATTCACTCGAATTGTCGGTGTAAAATTGAAAACCGCTAAGGTAAATAGCTTTTGGAGATAAATGAAGTTGACGATTTTCTTGAATTTGCCTACTCAATATCTTTTGCTAGAGAACAGATAATCCCTGACTCATTTCATTGATAAACATTATTAATATTATTTTATAAAAATATAAATCAGGACAAAGAACTTCATGATCTTCTCCCATCCATCATCACTACTGTTTGCCTATTTTTAGGGGAAATGTATTCGATAATTTAGTGGATCCAAAATCCAGAACTTCAACATTTTTAGAAGATCAGAAAAATGAGACCTAATGAAAATTGTAAATTATTATATTGTAATGTAAATTCTAAATTATTCAAAAACATTTACTAGTGGTGCTTACAGAATGGCACAGACTTTCCAGTATTTGTTTTCTCTTCACTTTGGTCTCGGCTAGTTATTCGGACTTGCCACATACTCTTGCCAGCTGCTATCTATCGTCGCCCATATTACATTTTCGTTGTTGAAATCTTCTTAATTTTTCGCAGATCGGAAATATTTTTTAAAAATATTAAAAAAACAGTAAATCCTTGCACTAAATGGCAATTTTCAGTGAAAAATTTGGGGCTGTTTTTAAGAAAATGGCGTTTAAGCGTTACTGTAAATGCGAAATTTCAACCTCTTTTCACAGAAAACTATTGAGTTTCCGTAAACGTTAATATGATATTATTTCAAGCACAAATGTCAGTCACAAATGTTATAGTTTTTACAAATCGCTGGAAATATGCATATTAAGTCGTGAGAGATATTTAAAAAAATACATATGTAATTTTTGAAAAAACAAATGAATACAACAATGTTAATTATAAGTCATCTTAAACAGTGCAGTTAGCACTATACGTTGAAAACGTTTAAAGAAAGAATTTGGAGAGCTTTTTGAGAAAGTAGCGTTTTAGTGTTTCGGAAAATGCGGAATTTTGAGCTAAATTTAACAGAAAACGTATGAGTTTTCAAGAACCTCTATATGACATTATTTAAATCAAATGTAATCTTAAATAAATTAATGTGAACAAGTTGCCATTTATGTAAATACTAACAACGTGAGAAGCAAGTTAAAAAATTACATTTTTGTAATTTTTTAAAAAGTAAAAGAATAGAGGAATATGGCGTTTATGTCATCTTATAGAGGGTATTTAGTACTATTCCTATCGAAAGTTTAAAGAAAAAATTTGGAATCGTTTTTGAGAAAATCTTGTTTTTGTAATTTTTTAAAATTGCACATATTGTTCGCAATATTGCGCGAAAATTACTAAAATTTTCAATAAATGTACATGATCGTAATGAAAGAACGCACTATGGAAAAAAACTATTTGAAGGAACAAACTATACCTTTAATTTTGTAAGATATTCGAAAAAATTTCAAATTTCAAAATTTGCGAAAATTTAGAGTTACAACCGATAATCGGACCTATGCGATCTTTATAAGTGTATTTTACTCTATTCTTACAAGAAATTTAAAGAAAAAAATTGCAGCCGTTTTTGAGAAAAACATTTTGAAAATGTCCGGGGAACTTCATGTAAAGTACCACCAAATTTAAAAAAATGTTTTTCAACATCTGAATCCTTTGACTCGAGCAAGATGGACAGAGGTTTCTTCAATTTGGAAAAAGACATATGCATTGTTTACGCGCTAGTGGTGTTCACAGACGAATAGACAGACGGACATTTTGAAAAAATCTACTTTTTGGGGTGTCAGGGGCAAAACATGCATTTTAGTTGAAATTTTGAAATCGATTTTCTGCAGCATTTTTCCTAGAGTACGTATAATGCTCAGTATACAAGAGATTGAAAATGAAATTGGCGAGTTAGGCTTTAAGCACATCGACGATTTGAGTTACATGTGCACCTCATCAAAGTGTATCAGTGAGTACATTATCACTTAGGTGCAACAGAGCCGAGTCATTACTCGAGTCCGCTGGGTGCGTACCGCGTTGAGGTGCACGAAGCCCGGCGGATCGCCCGGGCGCGCGTACAGCGGCGAGTGCACGTCGGCGAAGCCGGCCCAGATGCCGCGCAGGTCGTACGCCATCACGTGGACGGCGTCCATCAGGCGGCACAGCTCGGGCACGTGGAAGCCCTCCTCGATGCGGAAGGCCGCCAGCGGCACCGCCATGGAGATCTCCCAGCCCTTGCCGACCGCGTCGAACGCGCGCCGCAGCTCGGACACGAGGAAGTAGAAGTTGTCCTTGTCGGACGGCTGGCCGTCGCGGTCCGCCGCGCCCGGGTACTCCCAGTCCAGGTCGATGCCGTCGAAGCCGAACCATTCCATGTAGTCTGCGGGCACACCAAGCAAACAGTGGAAAAGATCACAAATCATTGAAAGATAACGTGGGCTTCCGCGTCCGATGTCAACTGTCCGGAAGACGCCGCTTCCTAGGCGCAGTTGCGAAAGTTGTTGGTAGTCATATCGAGACCGTACTCAGGGCATTGAGGATGGAAGGAGGTCGTAGTTCGGCGGCCGAAATGTTTGCAACTATGCGTAGGACGCACCGTCTCCAGGACTACCGAGTATAATTCACATCAATGAAGTTATTTAGTTGAAAAGATTACACTTGAATTGCAGAACATCGTTCACTCACCTACACAGAGTTCCGTAGAACATCGAAGTTGCCTAATTGTATTTGTGCGATTGATGGTAAGAACGTCATTATTATATCCCCAGCGAATTGTGGAATACGATTTTTTAATCATAAGAAAAAATGTTAGCATAGTTTTGATGGCTGTTTGTGATGCCAATTATTGTTTCACACCTGTTGATATTGGGTCATATGAATCACAGAGTGACAGTGAATTTTCACGAAATCTAAAATTGAACAATAATTTGCTTCTTGTCCCTCTATCTCCTCCTTTCCTAGTACAGCAGACGTTATGCCTCATTATTTTGTAGGTAATGCAGCCTTTCCCCTAAAATAAGCCTAATAAAAACATTACTAACCAATGTGAGAAACAAAATTTACAATTATCGCCTATCACATTCCCAGCGTGTCATTGAAAATCTTTGGAATAATAGTTTCGCGGCGGAGCATATTTCATCGAGTTATCAATGCAAAGCCAAAAAATGTCGATAACATTATCAAATCGACAGTGTGTCTTCACACTTTTCTGCAGTGTTCTGAAAATAATTGCAGAAATGGAACGTATAGTCCATTTTCATATATACACAGAGAGGTGGACGAGCAACGTGTAGAAGTAAACTGGAGAAGGGATGTGAAAGAGATTGGTGGGGTATTTCAGAATTTAAATTTTAGAATTGGTTCACGTAATGCTACACAAAATGCAACTCAAGTGCGCGAGCAACGGGCTGAGTATTTAATTTCACCTGCTGGGAGCTTGGCGGGTCAGCTAAATTATGTATTAAGAAGCAAACAAGATTTTTTTAAAAAAATTGAAAGAATATATCATGTTCTAATTTTATTTATATAAATTACACGCTTTCCTGGCCTCGTGCCCTTCTCTTTGCTCTCATTATTAATTGCGTCATTTCCGCCATCACTTCGTCCTTAATGTCTTCAGACAACAAAGCCAAGTTTTTGCTAATAAAATGGGCAAACGGCTCCTCTTAACTAGAGTCCGTTTTTTTAGAAGCGTGTCGGATACCTTATTACTAGCATCCAAAACAGCTTGCAGTGACAGAAGAATTGATTCATCATCTATTGATGAACTACGATGCTTTCTTTTGCGTGCAGGAGGTGAGGTAATTACCTCTGAAGTACCTCTTCACTCTCCAGCACAATCGTTTTGGCTTCACAATGCTTTGCGTGAAAAGCATTATTTCATGGCTTAATATGGTCATCAAGAAAAGACATGGCATCCATCAAATGCCATTCTTCCTTTTAAGATGATCCAACCCTACTTCTTTTTTCCCAGCCCATTTGCTTTTTTTCTTTGCCGTACATTCCCCTAAATGTTTTCAGCCTAGTATGGCACTCGGACACTGGATGATTAAAAATTTTCGAATTTTTGCTCACGTGTTTTCTTTTAAAACCTCGTCTTGCATGGTGCTTAACGTATGGAGACGGAATCTCTTGCACCAAATGTACTAACAATTCATCAAAAGTAACAAACGTATTCGCCACGTCATCATTGAGAAAAAAATGGCCCAAATTTTAATTTCGATATTCAACTTGCACCAAATCTCCGCAAATTCTTCACCAGCACTTCACTATTCACTTTCAACCAGCTTTCAGCCATAGATACAACACAGTCTCAAATCGTTCTTAACTTTTCTTTTCGCGGGTTTTGTTGTTCATTTGTTTTTGTTTTTCATGCTGCTCTCTTATTGGTCTTCGATAGAATTCCGACGTTAACTTACACGTAAAGGCTTGAAGCTTGTGAACACTTTAAGTTTACGGATTTGTGTCTGCGGTTACGTCAATGCATTGTGAATCTGCTCGGTTGGTAACTAATTTCTTGGTTTTGCGGTTACGTTATGTTTACGTCTAAGTTCGCATTGTGAATGAAACATAACAATGTGTACTTACGCAATGGAATATTATACTCTTATACGTATTCTTTAGAAGAGGAGTACGCACGGGATATTGCGTGTTTTTTATTTGTAACAAGTGCCTTGTCTTGAATGGATTGTTTGATTTTTGTGCATGTGGTTGAATGGGTAATTCGTGTTGGTATATTAAAATAAAAACAGAAGAGAAAACGTGTTCCTAAAAAGATATCTTTTTGGCATTTGTGAACGTATAGACCCAAAAACGTGGTTTGGAGTCAGTACACTAGTGAGAACGTTCAAGATTATATCTTAGTTTTTCGTGAAGGTGAACAATAAATTGACGCGAAGTTTTTTTTTCCAGCTCGCGCTCCTTCACGCCTGACAGTGTGGTCGAAGAAGTGCTGAAGCTTACTGAAGAAATTCTTGTTTCTTTGAAGGATACGAAAGCTCTACTGTCGTGCCTTATATTCAGGAGATTTTTGCATTCAGATTAAACGCAAAGTGTTCATTTTAACTTACACTTAAGACTTACACAAATATGAAGAAATGATTAGCTCACGAATAGGCATTTGAACAGAGGAGTTAAGAGAACAGATAAACCATACCATAGAAACTCGCGAATAAGTCAACAAGTGAAGCAATGATGACAGCAGAATTTGATTGTTTAGTGTCATTGCCTAAATGTATTCTTACACTTCGGGGAATATTGAATACCCTCCAAATATACTCGATGATCAGGATTTTCATCCTTATTTTGTCACACCTTTTTAGGAATTCAGATTCCCATGCCAGAATACCAGAATACAATACCAGAAACAATACGAAATGGCGATATCATGCTTAATATCTGTGCATTGTTGGGCGAGTGTACGATTTATCATCGATAAACAACAAAGATTCAGAGCGAAAGGCCATACAAGAAAATTCTCTTTTACATAAAGTGTCAAGAAGTGAAATTATCTCACACTTATAATGCAGAAGCAATTCCAATTTTATTTGTGAATATCAAATTCTAAGATTTCTTTTAAAGAATTAAAGAAGTTTCTAACTTATCTGCCTGATAACTCAATAAAAATATAAATGTTTCATTTCACAATATTAATAAAGTGTCGTGGTTCACAATTTTTAAATTATATAAAATAAACTGACCTATCTACTTAAACCCATGAAATTTTGTAGGCTAGATTCTGTAGTAAACTTTTAGTCAACTTTTGCATCAACACTTCGTGAAAATGGTGATTTACAAGAAATTCGGTGACTATACTGGTGCTCAAGAGTACATGAAAAAAATTACATAAAATTCGGTGAACTAGTTCAGATACATTACACCTGTGTTCGTCCACTCTTGCCATTTTTCGATTCCTGCCATTCAAACAACTTTATTTGAGGACAACCCACAAAAAATCATTCAAATCTATGAGTAATACTACAAAGCGAAAAATGTATAGGACGGGTGTGTGTTTGTTACAGAGGTTTCTTCTCATGTTTTGGGAGAAGGTTCGAGCGTTAATATACCTTAGATAATTCACTTGGCCGTAATAGTCTCACAGTCCGCGCACCAGGTGCTCGTCCTGCTTCATGTCGCTTTATTGCGTACTAGCTTTATACTTGAGGTCATAAACGAAGAGCCCCGACATTGGCGACACTCTTAAAAAATAATAAAAACAGGAAGGAAGTCTTCGTGCTAGAATAAAACTGCATTGATTTAATGGCTTGGACCGACAGAGCTGGCTTAGGGCATCAATTGATGTCACTACAGTGCCTCTGAGCGGGAAGTCCTAGGGTTTGAGTCCTAACGGTGACAAGATTTTCGACATTAACTTGTTAGCTATGTTGGATTCAGTCGTCTGGAGGGGAATTCTAAGGACCGGCTGCTCTGATCGGTAGTTTTCCGTGTTTTTTTCCGATCAACGTCCGGCGAATTCCGAAGTAGTACCCGATCGGGACATGGACCGCGTGCGATCTTTTCTTCCCCTTCCTTGTCATATCCTCACACCTTACTTACACTCACACCTACAATGCACTACACTACCACACATGCTAGGAAGCCGGTGGGCAACTTAGTCCTGGCAGGCCGGTACGCGGGTGATAGAAGATACCTGGTTGGGGAAACCTCGCTAGCCAACGGTTGGTCGGCTCCGGATCTCGCCACCTGGCGGGGCAAGATCACCGCCACCTTCCGAGAAAGAAACATGTACTACAATTACGAGACTAATGATCTTAGCAGTTGACGCACCCATTGGTAACAAATACATTAATCAATAAAGCAATTGATCAGTAAAGAATACAACTATCTTGAGTTTATACATCTTTTGAGTTTATTGAGTTTATTCTGAAGACGTTTTAACCTTCAAAAACTTACAACAAATACAACTATACATAAATATGTCTTGGGTTCATGTAATGTGCTGTATTTTGATGCTGTAGTTTGTATGCCTATTACAACATCAGACATTTTTGTTTTTCTAGGGGGATACAATTCTGTCATTGTAGTCGGAGAATGAAAAGAAACCATGAAAGTAAAATATTTATGCTTAGATACAAATTATGTAAATTTGATATTATTTACTGAAAAAATGTTATATCACCAAACATTAAGTAAAGCTATTACTTAATGTTATTTAGACAATATTTACTATTATCATCGCTGCTATTGTACTACATACTCGTAGTACTTTCTTTACACTATCTTACTGACGGTTTTAGAAAAGTCGAATCCGAAAATTCGTAATTCTAGTAACAGTTAAGTACACATAAGGGATTAGGAGACTCGTTTCACGCACAATTTTGATCCGCCCCACGAGACGATAGCGGTAAGTTATCTCATAAAACGTATTTCACAGATCGGAAGAAATTCCCAATTTTCAGAACGTATATCTGCTCGTTATAATTAGGAAAACGTTTTGAACTCGGTATATTTGTACAATTTTAGGGGAATACTTACGTTGTTATCTATTTAAAATGTTAACTTTTATGAAATAATGTTTTCAAATGACAACCCTTCTCAGAATGAGCAGTGCTTCAGAAGTAAAAAGGCAGACCAAGAAAATTATGCAATTAATTATTGAATTAAATATTATCGATATAGTATAAATATTATTGAATTAAATATTATATTAAATATTATATATGTTACTCTTTACGACAAAAAGTTCTGAACAACATTTTTTTTAATAAGATTAGCGTTGCGTAATTAACGAATAACAAATAAACATGAAGCATTGAGTTGTCTTCGCTCGGGGCTCAAAGCAGAGGAATCAGTCCAATTTTCCGGTAAATTCGATTCTGTATCAGTGTAATAATGAATGTTAGCTAGATCCGTCCAACCATTCTGCTCTTTGGAAATAATAGTTTCAAAGGTGGAAGTAGCTTTATTCGTAAACCTAATTTCATACGGGCCCTCAATGAACTGTGAGTGGTCTACTGAATTTTATCCCTGTTCTGTCCGTGAGTAAACAGTCTAATATCGCTTAGCACTGATATTAAAAATCAAATATTCAGTTTCATCGGATTTTAATCTTTCATTTTAAAACCCACTTTTAAGGCCCTAAAATATATAGTTTACTTGTTACGCACGATAGTAAAGAGTATTGCATGATGTGTCATGATGTTTGCATTGCATGTAATGTCACGATTGTATGTATTTATGTTTTTGCCCTCATTTCGCTCTTATAACACGATGTGCGAACTTTTCTTGCTTCTTAAATGCATCTTAAATCTGATGCAGGACTGAGATGTAACAACTTCTCCTGTAGCAGCACAATTAAGAAATTTTGGGTCGTTGGTTTCTTACAAATGATACAAAACTGTCTTATTTTCCAAGAGAGAGTGTGCAGTGAATTTTGTACAAAGAGCCCCTCGGGTGGCTAATGGACCACTTGCGTTCTTTTCGTGTATCGATCTCGGGTTCGATTCCCCATCGCATTAAAACAGAGCTGTAGCTTTCCATTACAACCTATCATTCTATTCATCCATTATGGTATCATTCTATTACAGCTTCTATTGACATGTGACGAAATAAAAGCTTAGGCAGGCCAAATCGCTAGACATGGAAACGGGAATATGTCATGCTCGCCACATGTCTTCATACCCCCAGTCGTGGTTAATAAATAAAAACAGAACGCAGTCTAGGAATACCGCTAGCTGACAAAAGTCGACCCTTACCGTCGTGCGTCGAAAAATGACACATTTTTACAGAGAAAAGTCAGTCCGAAGCGTTTCTATTTGGTTTTTGTAAATGGTTACTGTTGTGGCTCGTATGAATGTTGATTAGCTAGCGAGAACAATATTACTTCTTCGCTCTTACTTCGTAAGACGAGAAAGTATTGTAATCGTAAGTAGGAAAACGGCGATATTTTTACAGAGAAAGTCTTATTGCCGGGTCCTGGATACGAAAACGTAGATAAATCTTGTTTCAATAAGAGGAGTTATGCGATGCCTGTTTTCTGAAAACTATGAAATTAGGGATTCAACGTTGCACGTTGTGCACTTTTTAAAACAATTAGGCGCTCCAACATTTAATATAACCCACAAGTTGTGGTTCACAGAATAATAATTCCTTAAATCAATATCACGGTGCTCATCTCATTGTTAGTCGTGCAGTTTCCCACGACTTTGTGAAGGCGCAATGGCTCCTTACTTCCTTGGACAGAGGAAAGCGGTACTTTGAATACTTCGTGGGCGCCTGAATATTCGTTTCAGGACCAATCAAGTTTCGCGTGCGAAAAGCACTGTTCTCCTACACGTTTACCACATCCAATTACCACTTCGTAACTTGAAACCGTTGGACGTTTGCGCTGCCCTCTTATTATGGACTACTTGAGTATCATTTTGTGGCATGCTATCAACCAACAGTGCTATTTTCCCTCTTTCCCTCTGCGTTCCCGGCTATTACCTTCGCATCATATAACTGTAATGTAGTGGAGAAACGAGAAATTCTACAACTTAATATTTTTTGTACACATATTTTTCAGTAGAATTTTATTTAAATAATATATTCAAAATAGTTGGACATATGGAAACATTTCACACTTGATAAACATTTCTTCAAACTAAAACCCAATTCCGAACGGAGAGCCCTGATAGCGTGCATTACATCATACAGGTGCTGAGTTTGGATAAATAATCTAATTGTGCTTTGCATTTACTATGAAAACCGCAATTTTTAGTCAGCGCGATTGAATTATACTGAATATGTCAAAATCTTTTCACATAGATTTCGAGATTCTACAAAAATTTTATCAGCCACGCATCTGGTCTTTCTGAATAGATACTCAGTAGAGCTAAACCTCCAACAATGTTAGATGGTCGAAAATGGTATCTTTGTAGATTAAAGCCAAGTTAAAAACATTATTGTGCCCCATGGGCACACACCCAGCACGATGATAACGTTTCGCAGCGTAAGATGTGATGAAGAGGTTCTTGTGCTGGTAATTAATTGCTTGGTACTATAAAATATAAACATATCATTTCTCGTCTCACATGTGATTCATGCACTCCTTGAGTGGAAATTTTCTATTCAGCAGTAACACATTTACGAGATTTTGTGAAGATGACATCTTATAAAAAACGACAACCTATATATATAATTACAAATCATAATCACAGCCAAAAGACAGAAATATGGTTAATTCATGATTTGGTCGTTTAATTCGCATAGCAGCCAAACGTTTATTTGGATAACGCTGTTTTAATTGCGATGAACGGAACGTTTCGAGTATGATCTGACTGAGATGGGATTAGCTACAGGTCTCTGCAAAAGAATGTAATTGCCCGAATGTGGCGGCGATGGCGTAACGGTTAGCGTACCGGACTGTTGTGCGCAAGGTCGCGGGTTCAAACCGCGACCCCGATCGAGGCCGTGGATTTTTAAGGGCGAAAAAATCCTTCGTACGCCTTCCTTCGGAGGGGAAGTAAAGCCGGCTGTCCCATGTTCGTAGATTTACTTGCATGTAAAAGACCCTCAAGCCTAAATGACGCCTCTGAGCCAAATTCAAATCGCCTGTTTCTCGCCCAAGATATACCTCCTTTATCTGCTAGGTGATGAAAGGAGCGTAGCGAAATTTGCGTGGTCAGACGGAAGAGCGGGCCTGATGGCCCGAGTCTCGCCACGTAAAATAAGGCAAATTCAATTCAATGTGAGATAACTTATATGCTCACAAATATTTTAACATTAAAATGCATTGGAAAGTATACGTTTCACAAACTCAAGCTTGTTTTACATAAAGGCCGAAAAATCGTCTCCTCGTTTCAGAAATGACTAATGGAAAATCAACCGAGATAGAGGCGAGCTGAAGGTTAGGTTAGGTTGTATCGTGTGAATAGAAATGTACGACTGACACAATGCAACTCTAAACTAATACATCTTGTCTCTCAGAAGTCTTAGTAACTGCTAATTTAGTAAACCTGCTGTGTATTTAAAGCCAACCATCTAACTATTGCCTAAATTACCCTCGGAAATAGATAACTTGCAATCTAACTTTTAATCTTCATATGTCTAGCTGACTACTAGTTAACTATTTATGTAGGTAGCTTTGTAGCTATCTACCTCCCTACCTAGCCAACGAACTATCTAACGAGTCAACTAACGTGTTCACTAATAAAGTCACTAAATAGTTAATTAAGTAGTTAACTTTTTAAATAGATCGGTAAACAGTTTAATTAACTAACTAGTTGAGTTTAGTTCACTAATTGGATTAATTAACTAACTAGTTTAATTTACAAACAGGTACCTCGTACTATAAGTGGCGAATGTACTGAACCGAAGGGGCAAAGAAGAAGGCGGGTACTCACGCACGACGCTCTCGATGAAGGCGCAGCGGCGCTCGGGGCGCGACACGAGGTCCGAGTACTTCTTGCCGCCCTCCGCCCACCCGCCCACCGACAGCAGCGTCTTGAGGTGGGGGTAGCGCTTCTTCAGCGCCGTCAAGTTGCGGTAGCCGTCCTGGAACTCCGCCACCTGCGCACGAGCAAAGGACTAACGCGGCTTTGGACTGCGCCATCTGCACGCACAGTACCTCCACACGTCCACTTCACCGGGCAGAAGGAAGGCATTTAGAAGGCAAGAAACGTCAAGAACATTTAGTACAGTGAAAAGAGAATTCATTTTATATATACGTATATTCGATTCCAGCTATAGTGAACTCGAATATAGTGAACACTCGATTAAAGTCAATTTAAGTCACTGGTCCCGTTTCACATACATTACAAATAAGCTTAAGAAGTTTCGGTTGTAGTGAACCTAAACCTCTGTTTTACGTATTACAATAACCTGGAAATTAATTCCCTTCTGGGAAAACATATAACGCCTCGGTGACACAAATTCCAACATTAGGCTGCTTGAAAAAAATATCGGTTAAAGGTCATAATCGAAGTAGTCTTTCCTGAGGTGATGGTAACGGAATCGAGACCATTCTCATGATTTCATGCCACTCAGTTTCACCGCGGAAACGAAGGCCATGTCCTACGTGACATTGGACAATGCAGAATCAGTACGGCGAGAGCACGAACTTTGGAAGATCTAGAGAAATTACACGTAAGCAAGAAGATCGGTACGTTAAGAAGAGAATCTCCATGGAGAAATAAATGTCAACTGCTTTGCAGAACTGCCAAGTCTGGCGTTTTCTATAGAGGATACAAGCATTTGATTGCAGCTCTGTGCTTATGGGACAGCGTTGTCACTTCTCACACAGCGCCTACGTGCAACAATCGCCTTGCTGGATACTCGGATTGGCATTAAATTTAACCAACTAGTTCAACACCTTTCAAAATTCATAAAATGAATTTCAATGTGATTTGAAGCATTGCAAATGGTGTTTGGCAACAATTAGTATTAAGATTTTTCATCATGTCCAAGCGCGGATATCTCCGCGCACCGCCTGTCATGACGAGTAGTTCGAACACGTGCATGAATAATCCAAATACAATTAATCATTGAAGTATACGAGTTGTAAAACAGTTTTGACAATTTGTATACGGTATTTTTTAATTTAATATAATAAAATATCCTTTACAATGTAAGGTGCTTTAGGTTTTCTATAATAAATGGCTGAATTCAAATGTACTTTTGAATCACTTTCAAATAATACTTTCAGTCAAAGAATGGCTATCAAGTAATAAAATTTCCACTTACCAAAATTACTTAAATTTATAAAGATGAGACTCCCTCTATTCTTTCACATGCTTCACTACCATTCTCTTCTGATAAATCTGAGGAGTCAGATGAAGACGAAGATGTTGATAAATGAATTACAAATTCTTCTATGTCATCTTGTAATTATCTTCTATGACATCTTGGGCTTCCCGTGTTATTTCATTTGTTGGAAGTTGGTGATTTTCTTCAATAATAAAGAAGTTTCACGCATGGTGAAACTTCAAAGACGTCAAAATGTACAAGTAAAAACTCGGCAATCATTTATAATTAATTTCTTCATAACGAAACCATAAAACTTAATTACAGAATAACCATCACATTTATAAAAGTTGTGGGAATAACTGGTAAAAGACTCAGTTGTCTAGGATCAACATAATTTAAGCTATCATTGAGTAAACATGCTAAATATTTGTGTGTGAAACAGGATGGAGGGGCCGAATAACCTCGAGCCTTGTGAATTGGCAACACAGCTTGTGGTAAAAGAGAGTCTAATGTAAAATTGTATTGGTTAAAAACATAAGACAATACTTCTTAAGGCTCCGTACTGTAGTCAAATATTTGGAAGCGCAATACGTTCAGAGCAGCATTAATTATATAATCTAATGTAAGGTGCTGTATAAATAGCTCCTTAAAAAAAATTATATCATCTAAAAAATATTTTGTTTTTTATAGGAATGAATGACATAAGCACATTGTTTTCAGCATTACACACAACCAAGAATTTCAATTTTAATGTAATACAGTCTTGACCGCCAAATACCAAATATATCTGGGTCTTTTGTACAGCCTCGATGGGAAGTGTTAGCTTTTTTACAATCTTGTTCATTGATATTGGTGAATCATACTCCAGCGATATTGTTTCAAACTTGCATTGCATTTACAGATAAAAACAAAGAAAGTTGGAGATTTTAAAATTTTATTACGTCTATTTCAACCTTTGAAGCAGTTCAGTGACCGCGAGGAGAAATAACTGTTCTCGAACAATTTACAAGGCAAAGTATATTTTGTGTTTTCAAAATTTTGTTGTTGGAATGTTTGGTGAGCATTCCTTATTCATGCAAATAGGTGAACAAAGAACTCACGTTGTCACTTCGTTTTCCTCCATTACATTTCTTCCTGCATCTCTTCCTGTTGTGTGTATTCAACGTTTCTACGTGTTATGTGGCAATCAAGGATTTTCGTTTCATCGTATCGTCAAAACACGCTCAAAAATTCGAACCTCTAATACGTGACTAAAAAATATATAAAATTATATAAAAGTGATATAAAATATAATTACTATTTGCCTTCTTTTAACAACAAAGATAAATTTCTCAGATTTTTGTGTAGCCTTATTTTTATTGTTTAAATAATTACGATAGTGAGTCAACATAATGAAATGAAAAGATAGCGTTCCTCGATGTTCCTGATGACCAGACGTATTCAGCGTCCTGGACTTCTGACATCATTCCGGCAAAGGCTTGAGGAAGATGATAAGTACAATTCAATGCGAAATGCTCAAACTCACGAACTTGATAACTAGGGGACGGTTTATGATGACCTAAAATATTGTCAAAATGATCATTAAAATGCTCTTAAAATGCTTTAAAAATGCCATAAAACAAACATAAATTACGTAAAAAATTTGATTAAAACCACTAGATGGACAACTCCAGCCGTTGGATATGCTCATACTGATGTAATCAAGGCTTTTTTTTCTTTTGTTCAAGTGAACTCAGCTTGCTGACTTTAGGTTTCGACTGTTCTTTAAATGAAAATCTGCGCCTTTATTTATCGCAAAATTGGTTGAACTGACAATAACGCCGATAACCGTAACAGGAACCTTAGAATACATAGTACTTACAACAACTGACATTACAATATATGAACGAAGAAATCGAATAGGTTACTCATTCTGTGGTGAACATTTGTTGCACCTCGTAAATATTGTTTGAAGCAAGTACCATCCTTCTTCTTCTACTTCTTCTTCTTGCCGGTTTCTTAACCGCTTTTTCGGTCTTCCTGCGCCTAAATCTTCTTCTCCAGTCTTCTCTGTTCTTCAGAGAATCAGGAGATAATCTCCACTTCTCTATGATCTTTCTGATATGGCCGTTCCATTCTGGTCTTGGTCTGCTTCATTTTCTCCTTTCACTTGGTTGCCTTTCTAATGATCTTCTGGGATGGCAAGTACGATTAAAATGATACTAAATTTGATTAAATCTGCGGAAAGTGCAGTAAAAATGACGTAAAATGCAAAAACAACAACAACAACAACAACAACAAACAACTGTTTTTAATCGAAGTCGACGAAAAATGAAAAAAGTATAAAAGTAGGCCATTTTGTTTCATTATAATCTATAATGAATTTGTATACTAAACGACATTGTTCTAGAATGAAAAGGGGAAAAAAATACTTTTCATTAAAATCCGTCCCCTCTTGATAATTAAAAGTAGATTCACTTCACAGCCATATAAGAGATAAGATAATTTAAGATATCCCTCTATTATGAGAGGTATCGTAATTATTTTCTATATATTTTTGAACAGCTTTGTAACTAAATATGGAATACAAAGGTTGCTTGTTTATGCAGGGGGCTTAGAAGTTGAAGCAGATGGGGCAAATTGCGCTAGGCCTAAATTTAGTTGGAACTCGATTTTTTCATTCATAACAAAAATGTATTTTCTTATAATAAAAGTTAATCGCTGTAAGTTATGTATTTTGCATAGAGAAATTAATTATGTTCATGCAATGGGGAGGGGGACAGAACTTTTGTTTGAAATACATACCCCCGTGGATCTACTACCTCAGGCTTCTTGTTTTCTCTGGACGCATTCCCGTTCAACAGTTTAGCTTTTCCTCTCTCTTGATGGTTTACCGTCACCTCTCCGCCGATCATATTAATTGAATAAAATGTTTACTAGAATGATGATTGGTGACGGACAATTCTTGCTTCGTAAACTTTTCTATAATTGGTCAAACACATGTACAACAATGAAGCTTTCTTACAATCACTATCGTTATGCAACTAACGGTAGACATCTAATAAGATGATTATAAAATAGGAGTTGAAAAGTGTATTATAATATCTTATAGAACATTCAATTTTGGTATCATCCATTAGGAATGAGAATAGATAGGAAGGAATGCAGAATGAAAATGTGATTAAGAATTTAAAATAATCATAAAAATTTTGGGTACCTATTTGGAATAAAATAATCCATGCTTCAGGTTGTACGTTTCTTAGTGTCATCTTTCTTTCGTTGATGACTATAGACATTACGTTGTTATTTTATTTTATTCTTCCAATATATTAATCACAGAAATATTGAAACTTCTGCGTTCAGAAAAATTTCTACAATATTCAAATTTATCACAGGGAGTCATTTTCACAGTCTGTATAAATGTACGAGTATTACAGGTAATGGATCAAATTTAATTTCTTTGTAACATGCTCACTGTGAAATGTATTTACTTGCTGCAGTATTTTAGCGGAAAGGCAAATGGCAGCACGTATCAAACGACAACGAAATGTGCAATTTACGTATGCCATTTACATCGAAATATATTAACACATTTTCTCTTTGATGTGTTTGTATTTAATCGTGCTCACGTTTTGGCATCGCGCTACTAGATGGTCGTGTCAAAGCAGCATACACCGGTGTGTTCAAATCCGTAGGATATTATCAAGTACGGTTGGTTCAGAGTGAATGCAGCACTTATAATACTCTCTGAAATGGAGAAGCTGCAGGTATTAGAGATGCTAGGGACGGTCAAGGTTGTCTTGGACGGTCTCTCGGCAGACTCAGGGCTATTAAGTACAGATTTGACATCAAGAAAACATTGATTTTTCTAAAATCAATGGATGGTTTCCAAACATCAAGGGGGGTGGATTTGACAGTTGAAATTTGTTTGACAGTTTGACATTTAAAAATTTATAATTCAGAGTTAGCTTGCAAAGTCAAAATGTTCTTGTATCTTACAAATATTTATAGGATAAGCACAAACTTTATGCAGTTCATCTAAAACCACCCACAACCGCGATACACAATGATTTATGTTTATTCTGCAATCTTTTGAAATTTTTCGGAGGGTAATTTCTCCTTTTCATTACATGTATCTTAGTAAATTAAGCAACAATTTGATATAAAAAAGGTCATCTGTAAATTATTTTATTTCGCTAAGTCGTTTTGAATCTGAAGCATGGAAATGTCAAATTCAAATAATCGATGTCTCGTATACGTAGTGAAGACGTAAATGTATATTTTCATGTAAAGGCTAATAAAATTTACATGAAAATGAAGTGTTGATGGTCTTTCTTGACGTCACATTCCAACGCATAGTTTATGCCGTCTGAAGAAAAAAATTAAAAAAATTCAATTTAATAGAAGCAGGTTGGTATAAACAATCTTTTAAAATATGCGTTCAATTTAGTTATAACATGTAGAATTTTAAGGTAATGATGATGGTTTGATGTAAGATGGATGATGATGAATGATGGTTTGATGATAGGTTTGATGGAACTACAAGTTTAAATACAATCATTTCCAGTGATGGGTGTCATAATTACATGCCAAGCAGATTCTCGAACAAAAACAAAAGTGAATCAGTGAAACTGGATATTAGAGGCCTGCCCGTCTTTACGAGCACCGCGTTCCAGTAAATTGCTCCGGCTACCTCTTGTAGCACAAGGTCCGGTTTGCGTTCAACCAAGAGGGCTGCCGGCCGGCGCGCGTCCTCACCTCAAGGTCCAAGTCCAACAGCTCCCACGTGTTGTTGTCGACGCCCGCAAAGCTGTAGAGCACGTGCGTGCACAGGTCGCCGGGGACGTCCTCGGCCTTGAAACCGTCCTCGGGCAGGCTGCCCGCCCACGAGCGAAAGTAGCAAGCGACGCGGCCGCGGCCGCCCGCGGCGCCGGGCACGCCCGGGGCGCCCACGCCCTCGCCCAGCGCCGCACGCGTGCCCGGCCAGAGGCATGCCAGGAGCACGGGCACCGCCAAGACTAACGGTCGTAACGGCATGGCGGCGGCGCAGGAGGAGGAGGTGTCGAGTGCTCAGCGGCCCACGCGATACTACGAACCCGCACGGCCAGCGACGGCGGCGGTGGCAGAGGCGACGGCGAGTGGGGGCGGCGGAGCAGGGCGAGGGCGGTGATGCGGCGCCGGGCCCGCGGCCGAGGGAGCGCACTCGCTGGGGCGGCGGGTGGAAGCTGTCCCGCGGAGACGGTGAATAGGACCATGACCTTCGACTGGCGAGGGAAGTCGCTGGAGGCGGCTGAGGTCACACAGGGGGCAATGTACGCCTTTAACTTGTTGCACCTATTGGTGTCAAACGAGTTGATAAATAATGATGGACGTCTACTACTGGTGACCTGCAGCGGTACCCTGCTTTTATTTACTACTGCTTTTACAATGCATTTATGGTTTACTGTGATTTTATGAGTGGTATGATGGGTGTGTAAACCTAAAACGGTGACGGAATTCAGGAAAGAGGGTGAAGAGCTTAACTGGGTGAGGAATGAACGGAATCTCAGAGCAACGTAAACCACGCCTTTTTCACCGCGCCACAAAAATCTTAATTTCAAGGAGAAATAATACGTTAATTTCCTAATCACCTGGCTCTTTTGCGACTTACATATCTATTAAGCAGATATAGTCTCTCACTTTAATATTAGGCCACCTTAATACATCGAAATTCATCTGGAGAAGTTTACTAACAAGAAGACATAGAAGCACGAAAGGTAAGTACATGCACTATAGCATAATTTGCACTAAGTGCAATATTTTTTCACGTTGAATTTTTGGAGCGCTAAAGGGAATTTCTTTGTTCGCAAGTTTGCTGAAGATGTTCATAAAACCTGCCACTATAACATTCGATCACCTAGGGAAATATTTTTATGGTTAAGTCTCTTATCTGTGCTAAAAGAGTTAAGACTACACATCACTTGACATTCTAGCGTTCAAGATTTCGGATCACTTGCTCTTGTGTGGTTAAAGTAGAACGATCGGCTGAAAAGGAATACGTCACCCGACCAGCTATAACATGTGAAGTTCAATCATGAAAAGGGCTAATCTCCAAGAGATATTGGCAAAATGCTTGATCTACCACGACATCGTAAGATGATAGGAACGAGAGGATAGAATAGAAGGCGTGTCGCGAAGTCGTCCAGTCTTACTAGAAAAAAGAGAGAAGCGTAATTGAGGAAAGTGAGGGCGAGTAGTTGATGAAGTGCGCCGAAAATTGTTGTGAAGAATGTAGAAAAAAGTGCAGCCCGAAACTGTGAGAAAAGTGCTAACAAAAGAAGGGTATAATGGAAGAGTGGTAAGGATAAAGCCATTATAAACGAGTTCAATAGAAAGAAAAGGCTGGAGTTCACGAAGAAATATCTGAACAAGGGATCGGAGCGGTAGTCGCAAGTTATTTTTGCTGACAAAAGCAAGTTTACCTGGTCGAAATCAGATGGCAGAACTCCAAGTCAACTAACACTTGAAGAAAAGAAATCTGCAGCAGACTGTGAAATATGATGGATGCAATGTCAATGTGGGGGTCTATATCTTCGCCTAGAGGTGTATAATTGGGGTTTGTAGAAGAGAGATGATGAAGGAAGATGATTTCCATATGTTGAAGGGCGGCTACTCTCGAAATACAGGATAGTATTCAGTTTTAACAGGACAAGGTCCAAAACATAAAGCCTACATTGTGTGCAGCTAGCTTCTCTGCAACTACCTCCAAGGACTTGCAAACACCTTTTCAGTCTTCATACCTTAACTCTATCAAGCACTTGAGGTGTGAACCGAAAGCTCAATTATAAAAAAATATCCAGAAGAAAGGAACTGAAGAGAAGATTTGCAGATGAATGGATATCTACGGAAAAACATCAAAAGGAATAAAAAAATCTGCATGTATACCGACATGATAAAAAGAAGGGCTTTCACAGAAAGATTAACCTACCAAATACTGACGTCATAATACTAATTCAAGAAGAGTGAAAAAATATTAAAATGGTTATAATATTTTTGTTTATTTGTTTTTTAGACATTCCTTACATTCATGTTAACATGCTTTTTGTGTCATTTTGTACGTACTAGGCATTTGTTTTGGTCATCAATTGTTATATCACTTCAATACAAGTAAAATACAGTAAAATTGAAGTTGGTAATGTGACTGAATAGAAAAGTGAAAGACTATCAATTTTATATTAGTTATTTGTGTACCTTAGGTGATAGATCAACTGGGCGCAAACCAAGAGATCCGAGTTTGATTCCCTTTCTAGGCGATATATAATTATGGATGATGCTTCAAAGAGAGCGCATCCCTACTAGGGAATTAGGTGACAGGACCAGGGAATGAGGTGACAGTGTCAAATAGATCAATATCCCAAGTGGTCAGGTGTACGGGGCGAGTGGTGAGCGATGGGTGGGCGCGCGCGTGCCAGAGGGGCCGTGGCGGGGCGGAGATGGCTGGGGGGGGGGGAGGCGGCTGTGGTCGCGGCCGCGGAGGCGCAGCGGTGGCGGGTCAGTTCCGCGCGGGCGGCCCGCCCGAGGGCTGTTGACCCGCGCTGCCCTGGCTGCGGACCGGTCCGGTGCGGCAGGTCCTGCCGGCGGCGGCGCGAGGCGGCGCAGCGGCGAGGGCTCGGTTGAGCACGCGTGCCGCCGCCGGCGACCTTCGCGGAATGCAGCATCCACGGCCGCCTGCCGAGTTGACAAGTGCGCCCTCGCGTCAGTGCTCCGGGGCCGCTGCGATTGGCCTCCGGCACCTCTCCCCATCCCACATCTGCCGAGGCAATGGCGTAAGGTGCGGGTGTGGAATGCGGCATTCTGCAGAACAGGGGTTCCTAACGGGGTCCGGGTCGACCCCCTGAAGGTTCGACGAAAGTTTGAAGGGGATCAGTGGTGGTCCCGGGGGTCGATTGGGGGTCAATGACCGTATGTGAACCGACACCTGATCACTATAATTAAAATTCTATTTATTAAAACAATGTTCATAAATTTGATGATTAATTGTTTTCTAAAATACAGCAATAAAACACAATATTAAATTACTACTTCACTCCTCCTTTGTATCCTTCATTTCTCCTAAGGAGGCATGATGTTCAGAAAATTCAATAAATGCTATCACAACGATGCTCTATCGCACAAGAAAAGTATTTCTGCAAATACGAGCTGAAGAAATATTATAAGCAGTTTTAAAAGGTCCTAATATTTAGTAATAATTGAGTACTAAGAGAATATATTAGCTCGAATGCATCACTTTCGGAAGCTTATGTCATTAAAATCGGAAGTGAGTTCTCGTTTCCTACATTTGACTATGTTAGAGATTGAAGATCATACATTTGCTACTTCGTATTCAGTAAATATTGATAAAGTCTACACAGAGATTTACAATTAGAATTAATTGACCCTTTTTGTATAACTAAAAAATCGACTATGTTGTGCAATGAAGTTACTAGCTTGTTATTGAACATTTTCCTTGAACTCGCTTTTTAAGTTTGTTCGAATGTGCACCAAAAACATGGAAGTTAGTAATCAATAATTTCAATTATGCACAGAAATTGAAAGAAATCTATCCAATCTTGGCCATTATGTGCTTTTGTTAGACCCCGTGGAACTTCCAAAAATCCAAAACCATTTAACAGTTTACATTTTGTTGGAAGATAAAAATATTTGATTATTTTAATCTGCGGTTTTTCCTACCTGATATTATGACTATATTGTCGAGCTCGGTGCGTCACTGCTTTCAGCGCAGCTGATGTCATGTGAATAGGAAGAAAGAGTCAATGAGTTTCACTAGTTTCGTGTCAAAACTTACATTTTTATGCTCGAGAACAGCAAGACAGCGGGTTTTAGAGTGCGCCGGACATCGGCGAATTAAAAAAACAAATCCTGCTAAGGCCCTGGTGAACAAAAATGAAGAAATCATGTTCTTCCATACATTGTAAATTACTTCCTCTAACACGTGATGTAAACAAAATCCATGTTTTGTGAGTATTTGATACCGAAATAGTAGTAATACAACAGCACATACGTCCTCACGCTATTTATAAATTTTGCAAATTTCGAAAACGCAGTGATCAACAAAAATGAGACCCGCGGAACTTTTTAAGCGAACCTTCTTCTATTTATGAAAAAGTTAGAATAAACAATATGGAACTGTTTTTGAGGAAAATAAATTAGAAATTTCATTTATTTCAGACACAATTTGCGAGAAATCTACTAGTTTTTTTCAAAAAATTGTACATGACCTTTTTTAAAAAGATAATTTTGGACAAAGTACTTTGTCTAAGGCAAGAATCTCTATAATCAGTTTTGAATTTTTAAAATGTTAAGTTTTTGCAAGTTTCGAAAAACGGAGAGTTTGCCAAAAAAGTGACTAAAAGCATATTTTTTTACCGTCCCATGATACATATTAAAAGAAAATTTAAAGAAAAAATCTCTTACGGGCTTGGAGATAAAAATTCTTACAAAAAGTGTAAAACGGACAATGGGACAGACAAACGATTTTCCCTAACCAGGTATTTCTCATCAGGCTGGCAGCGCCCCCGTCGGGACAAACTATAACGTAGAAATAAAATACCCGTCAAATTGTGTAAATTGGATGCATTTTTTTTATTTTGTGATTGGAAGTAAATGAAACTACACAAGCTGAAAGACGATGTGCTTTTATTGAACTGATTACAATATGGAATGAGAGACAAGGCCATTGGTAGTTACGGATGGAAAGTTGGCGTGAGGTCAGTAGGGTGTCGCATCCTCATCTGGCTGCAATGCATGTCCTTATACGGTTTGTAATGGTGTCAATCAACAGTTAGATCCTCTCTTGAGGCAAGTTCATCCACAATTGTTGCAGCTCTTCTTTCAGATCCTGCAGGTTGGTACTGCAACGGAGTCCTCTTCCAATGTCGTCCCACAAGTGTTCAATGATGGAGAGGTCGGGGGATCTTGTTGGCCACGGTGGGACCTCATGCTCTAGGTAATCCATAGACACACGTGCTAGGTGTGGACATGCATTATATTGTTAGAAC